GCCGCATTTTCGCGCCCTGCCCTCGCTTACCGAGGGTGCGAAAATGGCGGCGCTATGGAAAAACATCGCGTAACGGTGAGTTTTAAAGCCATAGGAACGCATTGAACGAAGTTCAATGCGTTTCTATGGCTTTTTTATTCCCGTTTAGCGATGTTTTCGCATAGCGAAGGTTAATCCGGAACGGATTAACCTCGCTATGCGAGGCACCACTGTATAGTAATACATAATTGTGAGGGGGCTACAAATCTGCCTGTACCAGATAAAATTTGAGAAGGAAAAAAACTCAATACACTTTGGGTTTAATTTACTTTTGGGGTTTGAAAATGACTACCCTTCATGTCTCTTCTGCCTCAAAAAACCACTAAGTGAACAGCCCCTCCACCTCAAGCCCAAATAAACACTATAGTAATACATAATTGTGAGGGGGCTACAAATCTGCCTGTACCAGATAAAATTTGAGAAGGAAAAAAACTCAATACACTTTGGGTTTAATTTACTTTTGGGGTTTGAAAATGACTACCCTTCATGTCTCTTCTGCCTCAAAAAACCACTAAGTGAACAGCCCCTCCACCTCAAGCCCAAATATACAACTTTGCCACTGGTCCTGCCCTGTGCCCCATATTCTCCCTGGTTCTCCTCCCTTGCTTTTTCACCCCTCTTGCCTTCCTCTTCTGTGACTCAGGTGGGGCCTGGAGGCATCTCCCTGCCCAGGTTCCCTCTCCCTTCACTGCATCCCCATTAATACAGCCAGAGACTTGGGTGGAATAAAAGGCACCGCTGCTGCAGGAGCAGCAACTTTTCAGTCCTTCTGCCATCTTGGATGCCAGTTTTCCTGGGGTACACCATGTGCTCACCTCATTCAGGCTTCTTTGGGACGGGTTTACACTTGTGTCTGAAGGGCTGATGTCACTTCTCCAAAGGTGGATGCATAGGAGCAGAGAGAAACTAACAAGAGGGGGTAGGAGAGATGTGCAGGCATAAAAGGAAAAAAGTGGAAATTACTAAGAACTCTAGATACATATGAAGATAATTGCAATTTAAAATAATTATAGCAGCCCCCCAGAAAACACTTTGTGACCCTCCTTGGGGATCCTGACCCCCCCAAGTTGGGAACCTGTGTAAGTTAACCTTTAGAGAGACCAATTCAGTGGCCAGTACCATAGATGTGTGTGTATAAGAATGGTATGGAATTGTTGGTTTTATTTCCGATTCCTTTTCTAATTGGGTCCAACACAAAATTTGCTGTTTTTATATAGAATTCACCTGCTGACAGAATCACTTTCATGAAGGTACCCACTACAGTCCTAAGATTCTGTTCTTGATCTGTATCACTGCCAGCTTAGCTTCCATCACTATATATCTGAAGTTGGGATTTTTGCCCCAGAATGCATCACTTTACTGTTGCTTATATTGCATCTCATTCGCCAGTTATAACCCACATTTCCCCAATTTGGGGACATCCTTTTGGGTGCTTCCTAATCTGCTTTTGTTCCGAACACCCTAAATAATTTGATGTTATCAGAAAACATGTCCACCTCACTATTCAACCCACAAAAATCTTTGGTGAGAGACTTTGTCAAATGCCTTTGGAAATCCAAGTAAATCATGTCTACTTGATCACTCCTGTGTGTATTTTGAAAGAACCCTAAGAAAGTAGAGTGGAAAAACATATCTTTGCAGAAGCCATGTTGATTCTTTTTCAGCAGGGAATGCATTTTACTTTAGTAATGCTTTCAAAAATTTCCACCAGTTTACCTGTTGCAGATGTTAAGTTAACAGGCCAATAATTTCCCATATCCACCTCCCTAGGGATCTGTTTTGAAAGATTCATAGCGCTTTGGCCATTCTTTTGTCCTCTGGTAGAGAGACTGATCTTAGAGACATGTTACATATTTTAGTTATTAAATCAGCTATTTCACATTTAAATTATCTAAGAACTCTTGGCTGCATGTTACCTTATTTATTTGTAGGTTAGCCATAATAGCAACAACTCCATCTCCATTGTTTGCTTTGCCTCTTCCAGCAACATGAGTTTAGGATGAGTTATTTAACCTTAAAATTGCAGTAGTGAAGACAGTTAAAATAATTCATTTAGCTTTTCTGCAATCTCCTTATCTCACAAACACAAAATTTCTGTTCCTTTCATTTGGGCACAAGCTTCAGTTTTGGAAGGAAGTCCCCCACCCCCAACATATACATTAGCCAAAATCCTTTTGACCAGTTGCACCACCATAATGCAAATAGCAACACTTTTGGAGGCCAATTGCCTGAAACCAAGAGATATCTCTGTCAACATCATCTGCTCCACACCAAATTGTACATGACTCAGCATGCAACAATTAATGTCCACAGAGACTTCTTAATTTGAGGCAACCCACCTTCAAAAGTTACATTCTGTATGCAGCTACACAAGAGGCCTCTGTTTATTGGCTATGCCAGTGACCTCTTTGTCTTTTACCACTTTTCTTGACTGGTACCTTTTTTTTTGGCTGAGCCTTTATTACTGAGCCCCCAAAGCAAGTGTCTCGTACAGTCAATGTGACTGCTTCTGTGTATATTTCTAAATCACAACCCAAAATGAACATCCTTTCATTTATTTTTTCATCATTGATTTGGCTGAAATACCCCCAGGTGAATTAGCAGTACAGTCTATACACAATAATTATATTTTTGGCCCACATTTGCTTGTGATTTAGGACAGTGGTTCTTAACCTTGGATTACTCAGGTGTTTTTGGACTGCAACTCCCAGAAGCCTTCAACACCAGCTGTGCTGACTGGGGTTTCTGGGAGTTGCAATTCAAAAACACCTGAGTAACCCAAGGTTAACCACTGATTTAGGATATTTAACAAAGCTAGCTCAGCTGTTTTCAGTGCTAGCTAAGGGTTTAAAAATTATTTCTATTCATCTTATATTGCTTTCCCTACTCACATAAAATTCTCATGTAGGTGATGTAATATGAGTTGGAATGCATATAGATTACAAGAGCAAAAGAGTTAAAAATCTGTTAAATACCTTTTGGAGTCTGTGTTCATTGTAGGGGGAACCCCCACAAACCATATTCTTCCATCTTAGAATTTGTTCACAGAGAACTTTCATTCCAATGCACTACACGCCAATAACAAGGCCGTCCTTCATGTGTTTATAAACAGTGACTAAATAGACAGGGAAGTTTGGGAGTGCAGTTTGTCAAGAATGCTTCTGTTCCATAAATCCTTCTGTAATTGTGACACAGTGGTCCATTGTAGAGACAAGTTTTGAAAAAAAATGGGAATAAAGGCATGAGTCATATTCTCTTAACAGCTTGAAGAAAAACACTCATTTTCCATGTAAAGAGCAGAGCATGTACAAAAATAGCAGCAACACTTAAAAGAATCTTGCCCCTGGAGGAACTGCAGATTCCAAACACCAAAAAAAAAAAAAAAGGTTGGAATGCAGGGTCATCTCTGCAGAGAATATGGTGTGAAAGCCTGGTTCCATCTGGAATGTAAATCTAGCCATTCTCAAATACAATTTAAGGTAGAAATCCTAATTACTTCAAGTAGAAAAACTCTGGAACTCAGTGGGTCTTACTTCTGGTTAGACATGAATTGGACAAAGTAATTGTATGACATGTGAGTCAAAGTTTGCCTGTTTTCCTTGGATATCTTTACACTCTTCTCCCTTTTTGTTGCGTCCACCATTTCTCTCTTAAGAACTTAAAAATTTGGCATTGTTTTTAATGTTTATCAAGCAGCTGGAAAATTAGTACCAATATTTGATTAAGTGGGTGCATAACAGAGCATGCTTTCGAACCGCTAGGTTGGCAGGAGCTGGGACAAGTGACAGGAGCTCACTCCGTCGCGTGGATTCGATCTTACGACTGCAGGTCTCTGACCTTGCAGCACAGAAGCTTCTGCAGTTTAACCCGCAGCGCCACCACATCCCTTCGTTATGGTCAGTACTGTCACTCAAATTCTAAATGGCCTGAATCCTCATTCTGAAAAAGTAAAAAACAAGCAAAAAAGCTTTTGAGGGCCACAAGGTCACCGCCCTGGTATATCTGGAGATGCTGAGAATTAAAGGTGGCATCTTTTCTATACAAAGAATGCACTCACCTGTTGAACTAGAGCCATTCTCTGAATCTAACTATGAGAGACCTATGAGCAGTGTATGAATCAGAAATACTGTAGACCATTGTTGACACATAGGAGAACCATGTAATCCATGCCTGTTTATATGCTATACAACCAAAAGGTTTTGTTGAATAGACCTTTTCAAAAGAGATCCTATTTTCTCTTGAATGCATTTCTTCTCATTCTCCAAAATTAATCATATCATCCATGAAGTTATTACTTCACTGATGAGACAACTCATCTGGGTCCCTCTGGAAACTGCACTGACTGTCCATAATGCACTGGGGGGGGGGAGTAAAGAAACTGGAAGCCCATTTCCACTTCTGAAAAATACTGATTTTTGTGTATGTCTGTAAAATACTGCAGATGCATTGGGATAGTGAAATAAGGACTCACAGGATCAAAGTGCCAGGACTTTCTGATTAGCAAGGACTATGACGCCATCCTCTACCCACTTCATGGTTCTCCGTTCCCTCTGAATCTAACTGCAATTCTCATAGTGGCCAGGATAATGTTGGCCATTCCCAACAATGCAGTATTGTTGCAAGCTGTCCTTGTTGTAGTGCAAATACTGAATGGGCATTTTTTTAATTTAATTTTTTTATTTCTAAAGAAATGAAAAGACAATCCATCATATTACAAACAATAAATACAAAGCTATTCCCCACAATTCTCCAAATCACATTTATTCCATTCCCGGTCACATTTTAAATAAATATCGACCAACAATTTAAATGCTGCACATTGTTTTCCAAACAACATGTCTTGAAGTTTATTTTGTTGGCATATTTTATTAAAGGCTTCCAATTTTCAGTAAATTGATTGTGGCTTATTCCTCCTCTATATAATCTAACTTTATTAGTCATTTTTTCCATCAACATCGTATGCCATATCTTATTCGTAAATGCTTGTAATGAGAGATCTTGGGCTTTTTTCCCCAATTTCTAGCAATTTCAGATCTTGCAGTGCCTATAAGATTTGCAACTAATTCTTTATTTTCTAGTTTCTCATTTCCCCCTGTGAATAATGAATGGCAGGGAGCCATTTATGAACGGCTCCATTGGCAAAAATGGCATTACCTTGCGAACTGAGGCTTGACCTCGTTCGTAGGTCGAGCTCTGTTCACAAGTTGATGCCAATTTTTGCCAACGGAGCTGTTTGTAAATCGAGAAGTCCGTATGTAGGGCCGTTGGTAAGTCAAGGGTTGACTGTACATGTTTGTGTGGGGTGTAAGAGATATTTAAAGGTGAATTGCATCTCTGTGACAGCACACCTTTTTTGTGTGTTACAAGAGGTCTTGCTAGTGAGAAGGACCTGGAAGGCTAGTAGCTTCAGAAACATCTTTTGGAACTACATGGCACCCAAGGGCTACATTTTGCCCAGCCCTTGGTCTATGGCAAGAGCAGGCAAGTTTCCATGGTGAGCGTTGGGTCCAGGTATACGCCCAAGCTGCGGACTCCACTCGTCGGAGCCAGGGCCACCCCCCCAAATGAGAGAGAGTTGCCCAGGCCACCTGCCACGAGGGCCCCCACCCTCAGAACTTCTGCCTTGTCCGGATTCAGCCTCAGCCCATTCTCCTGCATCCATTGCAGTATGGTCCCCAGGCAGCGCTGAAAGGACAGGACGGCATCACCTGCGGTTGGTAAAAAGGAGATGTAGAGCTGGGTGTCATCAGCATACTGATGACACGACACTCCACACCCCCTGATGACGCCAGCCAGCGGCCTCATATAGATGTTGAACAGCATTGGGGAGATAATCGACCCCTGTGGAACCCCACAATTAGTAGAAGTGGTGCTGAAGGGCAGTGGGACTTAACAGGTCAGAAATCTGCCCATGGCTCAAGGGCAATGAATTGACAAGTAATACATCCACCTGAGAGGGACATGGTGGCGCTGCGGGTTAAACCACAGAAGCCTCTGTGCTGCAAGGTCAGAAGACCTGCAGTCGTAAGATCAAATCCACACAACTGAGTGAGCTCCCGTCACTTGTCCCAGCTCCCACCAACCTAGCGGTTTGAAAGCATGCAAAATGCAAAAGGAGAGTAGATAAATAGGTACCACCAACGGTGGGAAGGTAACGGTGTTCCGTGTCTAGTCGCACTGGCCACTTGACCATGGAAGATTGTCCTCGGACAAACTCTAGCTCTATGGGTGGGAAAAGATGAGCACCACCCCCTAGAGTCGGACACAAGTGGACAAATTGTCAAGGGGATCCTTTACCTTTACATCCACCTGTGCCATCCATTCTCATGCCTTACCTATGCCTGCCTCCTACCCAGCAATGAAGCAATGAGAGGCTGTGCAAACGAAAAGAGTCCTCTAAGAATTGTATAGCTTGCATGGTATTTGGCACTAATACATTTAAAATGAGTGAAAATATTTTCGCCAGCAAGGATATTTTAATCCGAATGGAACCTGACAAATCAGACAGGGGCTGCTATGATTCCAGGTCAGCGGCAATATTAAACTATTGGAGATCATGGTTATTAGGTACACAGCAAGCTGAAAAGCTTATCAGCTTATTTGGCAGAGATTCATATAATGTCAGGGCAGCTGTAAGTAGGATGTTTGTAAATATGTTGGCAAATAATACACTGTCAGCTCTGTGTGCAAGAAAAGCAATGCCTCACACACAGCATTCTTTCTTTCTTTTATTGAATGATCTGGGGAAATTAAGGGAATGATCAGTGGAGAAAAGGAGCATTCTCTCCACACTCCTTAGCTAATGAATCCCAGTAACAGCTGAATCATTGCTTAGACAGTCAACCAACTCCCCCCTGGAAGGTATGGTAAAGAGCTGAGACATCTTATAAGTGATAATTGGGTTTCAAAATGATTACCTGCAAAAATGTTTTCATTCATGTTACAATATGAGATGCATAAAACATGAGAAGGTAGGTGGGAGTCTCACTTCCATCTTAATGATAGTTGCATTTTCAGCAGTTTGGAGAGACTGAACATTCAGGGGAAGCAATAAAGATGCAGTGTGTTCTGTACCCTCTTACACAGCCAAGGAAAAGGTTGACATTACAGCGTGTTCCTTGTTGTCTTTTTTTGTTTTAAGCAGTTTTAAGTACTTAGTGTCCAGAATGGGAAGAAGAGACTAATCATAAACCTTAAGGCAAAAAGTTCCTGTCAATATATTACGAAGAACCCATCATCAGTATAATGTTAGTTGATGCTAACTGCTGAGAACAATTCCAGTATTACTCTACCGTTCCTTGGGGAATCAAGAATTCCTAAGAAATTTTGACTGCATTTTTCCTAGGCAAAATAACACACTGCCTGTTTCTTTGATAGTACATCCTGAAGCCAAAAGTGCTGTTTTGAGTTATCTATGAAGCAATAATGGCCTGTTTTTACATCTGGTAAATTCTCCGCTAAATCATATCTTACATCTTGCCTTGTTGTGAACCTTCCTCACTTTGGAACAAATTGTTCTTTATTGATAGGAAGATAACAGATGAAGAAATATAATACATTTATCATGCCTTATTTTCCCACGGGAGGGGGAACAAGAAAAAACCCCCGACCCTCTTAAAATGTGGCAGCAATTTTGGGCAGTTTGCATATAGCAATTTGATAAGACTGACTCAAAAGTCTTGGTGGGTTTTTAACAAGTGAACATATGGTTCTTATTTAAGGTAAAGCTGGAAACTACTATGAGATTCTTCCTGAGGACAATAGGTATTTCTTGGTTACAGCTTGGTTAGCTGACTTTGTTAATGAGTGATTAAATATGTATATTACTACATATACATGGCAAGGACCCAAATCAATTTGCTTTTTTAAAAGAGTGACCTTTTCTTGAACCAATATAATTTTTAAAATGTACATATATTTAATCACAACAGATGTTGTTTAATTTGAATATATTTAAGCATGAGCTGGGCTCTACCTAAAGATTTTGCACCTCTTTCTCCATTAAACAATATCTTTAGCTGTGCTGAAATTTGAAACTGTATCTTTTACTGGGTTTGGCACAGCACAGATCTATCCAGGCTGTGACCCATTAAGCCTAATTTTGTTCATTCCCCAGTGAATATGGCCTACCAGAGACCAAAGGTCAAACAAGAAGAGTCACTTGGCCAGCATTTAAAAGCTGATAACTTCTTGCAATGTGTTTTCCTCAAGCCTGTACAATCAGATTGTGTTTGATTATTAAACCTAAGTTTAGC